TATATATATATATATATATATATATATATATATATATATATATATATTCTGAACTTAAACTTTGCAATTAAGGCCTATTTGTGAACAAATTTATCTGGCAACAGACCAACCGATTGTGCTTACTGTTGGTACACGAACTCATAAGAGTTGCTGTAATGTGTTTGCTAAAGACATTAACTGACACGAATTTACTGTGCAAATGACTCTAATTAGGATAGCATAGCGTAGTGGCTAAGTATGTTCTTCGTTTGCGCATGTGTATGTTCTCCATGCATAATCATTTGCGAGAGTAATACAATGATCTTTACTTTGAAACGATCGAAGGAAATTAGCATAGAGGTGATTACGATGAAGAAAAATGTTGCAGAAAACGAGCTTTCTGTTTTCACCGCAAATAACAATTGTTATCATTGCTATACAAATTTCAAATGGAGCATAAGCTTCTGGTTTTCTTTGTTTTTCTCTTTTTCTTACAATTGAACCGACTGCCCATTTCCATCCTGTCTACCGGCAGTAGTACTCAAGACGATGTTAATCATCCTGAACGGTTTATTTCTTAGGTGACTCGTATTTACCCCTTTGTCCTGGTGATCACGTCACGTTGGAAAATGTTGCAGGTCGCATGACTTTGTGTTCAATTATGACGTTTTGTAGTCCCGTATATGAGGCTTTTAAATGCCAATTCTATCTAAAAAGATTCATGTGATCATCATATGATTGTGATTGAATTTGATGTAATTAGATATAGATTTCGTTTTATCAAGTTATTTTATAAGTTATGAAATGAAAAGTAGTAATGTCAAGCAATATCGTTATTATTGTATCTTTTATTGACTCCTTTGTATAACGTCTGTCATATCTTGTTTATGACTGCTTCTCAAATATACAAATGATCTGATCCCAAAGTTTTCTATAGAATTACATCAATGATGCTAAAAGGTGGTAAACTAATTCCACCAATTGATGTATTAATCGAGATCTTATATTTAACTTATTTAGAAGTGTTGTGAAGTGCATAAAATATCTAAAATATAGTATGCGTCGCGTACTATATTTTAGATATATTATAAATTATTTAATGTTATAATATTATAAATTATTTATTAAAATCTAATAAATAAATGTAATTTAGGAATACATATGTATATATATATGACAATTAAGTTATTTTAGCAGACTAGTGCAATAAATTTAGAATTTAAATTAAATTATACATGATATAATAAATAATAATTATTTTATTAAGTTTTGTTTTAATAATCTTAATAGTTATATTAAGTGTAGCTTTTTTAACACTGTTTGAACGTAAAATTTTAAGATATGTACAATATCGAAAAGGTCCAAATAAATTATCTTTCAAAGGTCTATTACAACCTTTTAGGGATATATTAAAACTTTTATCTAAAGAAATATGTTATCTTAGTTCAAGTAAAATATTCTATCACAGACCTATAATAATATCTGTCCTATCCTCAGCTTTCTGAATTAACTATCCTTGAATTGACAATAATTTAAACATTAGTTACAGTATAATTTTTATACTATTTATTATAAGACTTCATGTGTGTACCCAATCTTAATTATTAGCTGAGTTTCGTTTAATAATTATTCAATGTTAAGAATAATACGTACAATTGAACAACTTTCTACTTGCGTTGTACCTGAAATTGTACTTATAAAGATGTGATATTTACATATCAATAACGTACCATCTACTGATATCAAAGAAACGAAATTGTTGAAATGAAAAACGATTGAAATGTACCTGTTTGTTGCATTGTCTGTTTCAGGGTACAAACGGTCCAAGACCGACGTACGTAGGTGCTAATAATGGTAACGCCGGTGGTGCCGGGGGCGGCGGCGGCGGTGGAGGCGGTGGTGGCGCTACAGGCGGTGGCGTTGGCGTTGGCCCGGCAAGTGGCGGCGGCGGAGGTGGAGGTGGTGGCGGCGGCGGTGGTGGAGGCGGGCACGGATTGAAGGGGAACACCGGCGGCGGACCACGAGGCGGGAACCCGGTGCAGTATCGTGCGAGCGGTGCCGCAGCTTGGGGTGCAGCGCCGCCCTCTCATGCGGCTGCGGCTGCGGCTGCGGCGGCGGCAGCCTATCCACCTTACACGCGGTATCCAAGCGCAGCGGCTGCAGCTGCGGCCGGCCAGATGCCCGTTGGAGCACAGCAACTACCGCCTACGGCGAATCCTTACGCCACCGCCACCTACGCACAACACGCGTCGGTAAGTCGTTCTCTTCCTTTCGTTCCTCCCCAACCGAAGCTTCTTCGTCTTCCATTCGGAACTCGTGCTGTTCTTCTACGACGAGTCATTTTCGTTTTGCACATACATGCAACGATTCTTCGATATAAGTATATGGATAAATGGGTTTTTACCTTGCGCATTGTACGTCGAATTGCTTGTTTATTCGGGTATGATTTTCTACTCGGCCATGCATAGAAAATGTTTGATGTGTTTTTTTTTTTTTTTTTTTTTTTGTTCTCTTTATGTCCTTACCTAGAGTGCGGTAGTAAGATTTAAATTTTTGTTTGGCAGATGAGGTTACAAATTGTTTGTTGACGAATTTTATCGTTTTATGAAGAGAGAGGATGACTTACGTGCAGATTAATGGTTAGGAAATTGTTGAATGTGAAGCAAATGTCTTGCACGTTTCGTTTGGTCAACGAGATAACCTATAAAAACAGAATGTAAAAGTGTTTCATTTTATGATTGTACTGACCTTTTTTTTTTTATATGGGAGTTTCGATTTAGATATTTTTTATTATTTCGGCGAAACACACGCATTGTGTTAAAAGTACTAGTTTTGCGCAGCGTAAGGGTTAACCTTTCCCTAACCAACCGGGTGGGGCCATGACAACGCAGCAGACAGTTCTCGTCGAAATGATGCGCGAATTTTTTCGTTCGTTCTTCCGATCTTGTACTAAGGATTCCTTTTTTTTTCTCGACACGTAGTGCATCTTGTTGATTGATAATTCAAAATATGTATACACTTTGCTTGAAGTAACACTTTGCTTTGTTTGTTCCACTATATTACATTTTACCGGCATAATTATACAAAGTAAAAGTTGAAAATATAAGGAAAAACTTCTGACAGTATATAAATAGAGGGAGTGATAAAATAAAAAATTATCACATGTATCACGATAGCCTTAATTCTTCTCGTACCGGGTGGGGCTAATATACTTTCGCAATTATTACTCGATATTTTCTTTTTTCAAAGTCCAAATATAGATGTTTTTCTTTGAAAGAATATTTGAGTCCTATTTTTTTTTATTACTATATTATTTATTATTTGCGTTTTTTAAAACTGGTGTTCTCTATTAAGCTAAGTTGTTCAGAAAATATGAATTGTTAGTATAGATAAAAAATTTTGTTTATTCGATGAATGTTAGTATAGATAAAATTGTTAGTATAGATAAAAAATTTTGTTTATTCTCAACCTTTTTTTCAATAATAATTTATTAATTATATTGCAGTATGGTGGACAACGGGTGCCTACAGCCTCCTCGCCAGCTAATACTAATAGTAGTTCTAGCAGTGCTACCGGCAGCCGAAGTGGGACAATGAGCACAAGTCTTAGCAATAATGCTATACAAGGACAACAAGCAGAACAGTTATCAAAAACAAATTTGTATATTCGTGGCCTCAACCAAAATACAACTGACAAGGACCTCGTAAATATGTGTTCTCAGTAAGTCACTCGTGCAATTAGAATTTTCTGTTAAAATCTGACAGAATATTATCATTTGAATTGATTGTCAATGTAGCTTTATATTTTTAATAGAGTCTAACAAACATTGTCTAACAGAACATATGGAAAGTGTATTGTTTCTAATACATTGTGTTTTTGCAGATATGGAACTATTACTTCAACAAAGGCAATTTTGGATAAAAATACGAATAAGTGTAAAGGTAAATACAGTTTTTGCATATCTTTGTGTTCATCTGTTTCTTTTTTTTTTTTTTTATTACTAATGGTTGAATTCAATAACGCGAACTATTTTTCCTAATTGGTATTGCAATTGTTGTGTTACAGGTTATGGATTTGTAGACTTTGAGTCACCAGTGGCGGCTGAGGGTGCTGTGAAAGCACTGGTCGCCAAGGGCATCCAAGCGCAGATGGCGAAAGTGGGTATCTGGTTGCTCCCTAGACTGCCCAGTGTACGTTGGTTGTGCATGCAAGTACAGTAATACCAGAGTAACAGTAAACTCCTCTTCTTTCTTTTTTTTCTTTCTTTTTCCCTCAATTCCTATTTTTTTTTATCTTGTGTTTCTTTTATTTTCTGCCTCTCTACCTTTCTATTTATTATCCTGTT